GGTTCAATGTTATAATTTACTGCAAGGATCTTGATCTGAGGTGGGGTGATCGAGCGGCATTTGAATTTAATCTTGTGATATAAGCCTAATTAAATTTTGTTTTAAAATATAAAGTATGTTCGAATTATAGATTGGTTGAATTAATAATAGTTTTGAATAAGTTAAGCTTCTATTAGTTCTTGAATTTGAATTTGAGTACAAATGTCCAAAGGTTAGGCCTAAAAAAGTTTAATGGCTTCCAAAGGGAAAAATGTCTATTGGAGTGATCTCACCAAAATTGATGTCTTCTTTGCCGTAAAATTCTTGATGTTATGAATGATTAAGGTTCGTAGCAAGGATGGGTCTTCTTTCAACAAATTTCACTAATTTTGTCCGAATAATGTACTTTTTTTTATAAAATTTTGATATTAAATATGTAGTGTCTAATTTGCATCTTCATACTATCTTGGCTCGATTGGAAGTGATGAAGGTCTGATGCATTGTTGCACTCACATATGTCAATGCTGACTTAATCACATAAAATTGTAGGCCACTGTTTACACTTATATATTATAATAAATTTCATTTGCTAGAGAGCTAAATTATAATTTTGAAAAGTTATTTAAATAAAATTATAAAGAATTTGAAGCAATTTTGTTACAAAAGTTATAGGCTATTATATATTTATATGATATTATGTTATTTGAAAATTTCTATATTATATTGTATTAAATTGATTACCTATTGGTCTGCATGGACAATTAATTACTATATATGGCTTGAAAAGGGATTGACATTTAGATAAAAAGAAAAACATATGGTGGAAATTAAATTATTCTATTAAAAAAATATTGGTGAAAATATTGAATTGTTACAACGCTAAGCTAAGTTAGTCTTTATAAGTTTTTTTAGTTTTTGAGGAGTTGACATAAGAGATCAAATGTCTCAATAGTTCACAAAAGTCTTATTATTTATACAATATAGAACTCGGCTGTTCAAGTGGATATACCGTTTAAAACTTATAATTACTTCTGGCGGGTAAAATAACTTGTTCTTAGTAATTCTCTTTGGAGGTTAATTAAAATAAATTTGGATTCTATACTTCCATAAAGACTTCAACACTTTATTAGTCCATGCTTTGGCGTCCGACATGAAAGTTTCAGTTGAGCTCTACTTCAAGTGAAAAAGGGTGATGATTAATTTATTGCACATTGAGCACACACTAATTATAAAAGCAGTGTTGCTTAAACGCTGGAATTAAATTCAATGTTTTCAATTAAAATAATAAAGAATGTATTATCCCCTTCAGGCTACCCTACCGAGGTTTAATTATTAGATAAAGTTGTTATCATTATAAAACCTATTAAGATAGTAAGCATTTATGTGTATATATGATAAAGAAAATATCTTAAATATAAGCTGTTTACTTTGACTTTAATGATATCATTTTAAGGGACTTTGGAACATTTGATGACTCATTCACGTTTGTTGAATACAAATTAAAACTTCGGTTTGTTGCAAAATAACCTTATTTCTATGATCGTAAAACTATTTTATTTTAACTTTCTGTTTGAGCCAATTCTTGAACATAAGTTATCTTTTTGCTGCACACTTGCTGCACTCAGTTGTTCAACCTTCTACCTTTAAATACCCTTAAACATCCTAGAACTCAACTTATTTGTTTAGTTTAAAAAGCAGTCGAGATTCTTTGGTTACTTTTTACTATGAATATCCTACTATAAGTAAGGTAAACATGGAAAACAATAGGAGCCACTGGGGTGGAGCTCAAAGGGATTATCGAAATAACAATTGGCCTATACGTAAATCGGGGATACGAACTATAGTTATGCCAAATTTCAGCCCAATCAGGCCAGTAGCCAAACAAGTTCCAAAAACACATATACACCTTAATTTGTATAATGTTATTAATATGGACAATCAAGAATATTTAGAAATTTATTTTTTATTTGACGATATAATAATTATAATCTTTTATATTTCCTAGGGTGCATTACTTTAGTACCAGAACTCGGTGTCATTTACTCCCTTATACAGCCTTACAAACTCAAACTCAAATGTTAAAGAATGTAACACGATAGAATGTTTTACAGAAAAAGTATTACAGAAATAATATACAAGTGAAGAAATTATGTACATTATGTAGTTGTAACTTTTGACATATCACCAAAACAAGTCAACAATGTATTTTCCTTGTTTCAGTAAACTTTCGAAATAGAATATACTTACTTACACCAGACACTTTAAAAGCTTTTTACCATGATTTCAAAAAAAATATTTTTAAACTAAATTACACTATTTAATGACCATGCACTTCCCACATCACTGATAGTTAGTTATAGCCGTGCATTTCATTAATTATAAAATAAGCAAATTTAATTTATATGAACATATCGACAACTATTAACTATATGAACAGTAAAAAAATACAGTGATAGTTGAAAATAAAATATTGGATATTAGTTCCACGCGAATCACTTTTTTGCGGGTTTTTGCGTGAATCTATTGGGAAGGAGCTATTACCGTAGGTGTCATTGTACGACCTGGGCCAAGGACCGACTTACTTGTTCGTTTTGATATGGAGAGAGGCAAAAACACCATATATTCAAATTCATGTGTATATTGTGTCCATTAGCACGGTAACTCGAGCAGAAATCATCGTATTTTAATGAAATTTGGTGAATTATATAAACACACGTTTACTGGAACGAGTTCACAAACCAATATCCCTGACCATGGGAACGGGGTTTTATTGAGTCATTTTAGACTTTCATAACCAGAATTGACAATTTTGTTCAAAACTATTTTGTAGAGCTTAAAATAATACAAATTGTAAGTTGAAGTTGTGTGTGTACGGGTATTGATTACGGAGGAAATTCAACAAATTGCAAATTTTGAATTCCCAAGTGAGAATAAGTTAAATGTTTTTATAAAACCTAATGTTCATTAAATAGGGAATAAATCTGACACGTTAAAGGAAATATTTAATTGAAAATCTAATCAGACAAATGGAAATTCGTTTAGTCTTCATATTTGCTGAGGTGGGGGGTTTAGTAAAGTTTTCTTTCTGGTTTTGATTTTAAAGATCGTGTTCATTTGATGGCTTCTCTTAACCTTCGTACTGCAAGTAGTCAATTATTTTTTTCGATAAAGCACCGCAGTTTCTTATGGAGTTGAAATAGACTTTTAAATAACGGAACAAGAACATGTAATCCATCAGCTTAGAAGCTCAAGTAACAATAACCTTGGCGAAGATATATTTTAGATGGAAGTTATTGACATGATGATCCCTCTTGGAAACATTAGTCTGACAAAAGAAATATTGGCTCTGGAGGAGTATTATTGTACTCATATTTAAAAAGAGCTAAAATATTCATTAACTACATAAAATATTGATGGTCATTTTTAAAACAATTTATATTCTTTAAAAGTAATTAATGTTTAATACCACACATTATTGAGTTTAGAGATTTAATACGTATTACTTGAAAGTAACGTTCAGTAAATAATACGACAACAGTCCCAAAATCTTACATTCGCCATTTTGTGAAGATAGCTTGCCATACTGAATTATGTTTTTTTTCACAAAGTATTAAGTAATGTAATAATATGTTTTTAATTTGTATGTACTATACGTCATCTACATTTTTTTTTCTTGAAGTTAAATTTCATGTAATAAAGTATTGTTTATAATCTCTTCTAGTCGGAGAAATATAGGATATGACCTTAAAAAAATTGCAAGAAAACGTTTTATGGTTTTATTTTGTAGAGTTGGGTTTGCAGAATGACATACTAAAAGTTGCCAAAAACCGGTGCACGAGAAAACCACTAAAATCAAAATTTATAATGGCGGTTTTTTCCAACATTGGACAAATTAAAAAAAACATATTTCACATGCATTTGTTATGCACATTTTTCGAGATATTGACTTGGGACCACCGCCTGTATTTATTGGGTGGTTAGTAGTTCATTTTGATAGGGAAAATGTTTTTGGCCGCCATCTTGGATCCGCCATATTGGACATAGATAATTTTTTTTCAATGTAATGATAGTGTTGTGACACATCATTACCAACTACATTTTTACACTGATTTCAATGCCAAAATCCGTTTTTAAATATCTTTATTCATTTAGAATAAAATGTAGAATAAAAATGTCTGTATCCTGAAGGCTAAAAATAAATCTATAATGTGTCATTAAATAATAAATCAAATAAAATAATTTAAAATACACAATTAACATTAACATACACTATAACACGTTCTACTTCTCGGGTACACACGTACTTCTCTGTTGTAGGTCACCATGGGCTAGATGTGTGTGGTGTTGTGGGCTAGATGGGCTAGATCCGTGACATTTGCCAATTGTCTGAGCCTACAGGGGTCAAGAAGTAGTCTGCCAAGACATTTCTTACATCATTCCCACGTTCGCTTCCTTGTTGGCACTGGGTTTTTTTTTTAGGATAGAATGAGTCTGTATCTTCTAGCCCATTGATTTACAAAGTGTCCTCGTAGTTGCAACCGTCTTGAGTCCTGGCAAAATTATGTAGAACTACGCAGGTCTTAACTATAAGAACAGACAAGTTTGGTTTGACGTGAGTGGTCGGTGAAAAATGCGCCATTTGTTTTGAAAGGATACCGAAGGTGCATTCTACAAAAATCGTCTAGCACGGCTGAGTCTATAATTAAATACTCGTTTCTTTACGCTCAGCTGTTTCTGTTTTGTAAACGTTTCTGAAGGCATTAAAAGGCATTAAGGCCGAAAGCTTCATCACCAATAAGGTAGTATGTCACTTCAGGGTTAATTGAGCCGTATAACGGTCTTGGAGCAGGTAGCAGTGGTAGGTCGTCTTGTAGTCTTTGCCAAAATGATGAAACATTGAAGACAGCTGGATAGCATTCTTACTTGGTACTTGATACTTGATACTTGAGCACTGCATCGGTGACCGACAATGTCGGAATAGATTGCGTCAAACTATAACTAAAAAAAAGAATAATAAAAACTTATGATGGCGGTGGGTTGCCAAAAAGTGGTGTGTCCTCTAGCTCAGTCAACGAATAGAGAGGTCTGCGCACCAAATAGTCCTTCAGTTTGTCTCTAAAAGCTTTCACGTCCAACTCACGCACTTCAGATGGGAGTGTGTTGTAGAGCCTGCTGGTATAGTAAGGGTAGCCCTTTTGGATCTAGGCAAGACGGCATCTTGGCAGGTGAAGTAGATGGGCATGCCGTTTCTGGTATGAGTGTTGGTCCTCACGTCGAACAAGTGTTGCCGAGTTTTCCTTAAGTAATACCAGGCTATTGAGGATGTACTGACTGTAGACGGTCAGAATCTTTAAATCCCTAAAGATAGGCCTACAGTGGTCACGGTATCCGGCGGACGTTATCACCCTCAGAGCCATCTTCTGAAGGAGCAAGATGTCATGTGCTGCAGCTGTATGACCCCAGAGTGCAGTGCATAGCTCACGTGGCTTTGAAAAAGAGCATGGTATACCGTCACTAAGTAAGGCTTAGATATTACCAATGTCAGTTTCCTCAGAAGAAATACTACTCTAGCAAGCTTAACACATACCTGGCCAATGTGTTGTTTCCAACTTAACTTGGAGTCAATCCAGAATCCCAAGAGTTTGACGGCTTCCTCGCCCAAGTAGTTTGGCTTAAGTGTGCATAGCAGTGTTTGTGTTTTGTCATCGTTTATTTTGAGTAGATTCTGGCTGAACCACTCCTTTGCATAAAACAGAAGGCATTCTGCGTCGGCACTTAGCTGGTTTAGATCCCTGCCTCTGGTGACCAGTGTGGTGTCGTCTGCAAAAAGCAATGTTTTGTTGTTTAAGGCCAGATCATTAATGACGATAGTGAAGAGGAGGGGGCCAAGAACCGAGCCTTGGGGAACTCCATGTCTCAAAAGCTTCACCCCAGAAGTCGCACCACCGAGAGAGACAACCTGCTTTCTACCTTCTAGATAGGAGATGATGGTTTGCAGGACCACGCCAGTTACCCCATACTTCTTAAGCTTAGAGACAATAATTTTATGCGATACTACATCGAACGCTTTACTCAGGTCACACATATTTAGCAGAACTGAGTCCTTAGCTTCAAAAGCGTCTGCAATTTGTTCGACCAAGCTAGAGAGGGCCGTTGTGGTAGATCGTCCTTTCCGAAAGCCATGTTGGGCATCTGCAAGTAGGTGATTAGATTCAAAGTACTTTATTAATTGTATCTTCATTACAGACTCTATGACTTTAGAGAGGGCAGGCAGTATGGCAATAGGCCTGTAGTTGGACAGCAGTGAGGGGTCACCTTTCTTGAATACTGGGATGGCTCGTGCAGTCTTGAGCGCGTCAGGGAAGCAGCCGCTTCTCAGACAGAGATTTACGACAGTCGTGAGTGGGTCCACGATGGTGTGCGTGACAGCCTTCAAAACAGAGCAGGAGACACCGAAAACATCCTGGCTATTTGAGTTTTTGAAACCTTTAACTAGTTTAATAATGAAACTAGGGCTCACCTGATTCCAATGATTTAGGCTGCAAAATGATGTTACATCCAGTAGAGAGTCCGCTGGGTCAGTCTGCAAAATAGGTAAATCATCCACAACTTTGTTAGCTATTTCTGAGAAAAAATTGTTAAAATCATCAGGGGAACCTGCTGTTACGGTTTTAGGTTTAGGAGACCTGTGAGAATTTATAATGTCCCATGCTGCTTTACAAGTGTTGGACGCCTCTTTTATCTTTAACACATTAGAATCTTTTTTCGCTTCGTTTACTTTACAACGATGGAGTCTTTTGGTTTGACGATATAAAGCATAGAGTCTTTCTTTCCGTTCAGGGACAGTAGACGTCTTATAAAAATCATGAAGAATACATATGTAAGAACGTAGTTTGGCCAGTTCCTGGGTGTACCAGGATTTATCAGTATGAGTTTTGTTACTGGAACGGGGCTTGGCCTTCATGACTTTGAGAGGGAAGATTTGGTTGAAATTGTCCATGAAATTATCAAAAAAGATGTTAAAAGCTACCTCAGGCTCAGGACAATTATCTGCATTTGGGATGGCCCTAAAAGCATGCAGCAATTTGTGACACAATAGAGGCATATCATTATCATTTATAGATCTTTTAGCAGCAACATACTTTGCATACCAAGCAGGTTTATTTGAGCAGGGGCTTACCTTGTTAGAGTTTATTGTAACCAGAACTGCACTGTGGTCAGCCACAACAGGTTCCCTTATGCACACTTCCCAGTCCCAGGAGTCAACGTTGGTAGCTATGGAATCGAGGCACGCTTGCTCACGAGTTGGTTGTCTGGTGGTGAAATATAGTCCATAGCTACGAAGCAGGTTAGAGAAGAGTTCCTCGTCTCTGGAGTGACACTCGAGGTGAATATTAAAATCTCCACATAGGACTATTTTCTGGGGATTGAGAGCATTTAGCAGATAATTAAGGCAGGAGTCAAGCAGATCAAGGAAAATATCCACTTTGCCATCTGGGGATCTGTACACAGATAACACAACAACCGAGAAGTCTGACAACAGGACGGCGGTAACCTCAAATTGGAGTTCAACACAAAATCTCACAGTGTCTATTTGTTTAAAATTTAGATCACAGGTGCTATAAATAGCAACGCCACCATGAAGTCTTTCACTTCTACAAAAGATGTTTGCAAGTTTGAGGTTAGCTAGGTTAGTGTAATAACATTCCTCACCATTTGCCAGCCAGTGCTCTGATATACAAAGAATATCGCATTTAGCTTCTTCAGCGAAAATAGACACAAGTTCACTTTTGTTCCTTAAACACTGAACATTTAAAGCACAAATAGTAATGTCTTTGCGCTTTGGATCTGTGTGGACAATATTTTCATCTGTAGGCTTTGGATTTGATAGTAGGTTGTCTTTTCTTACTACGTAGGAGGTTTGTTTGTCACTCGTCGGAATAAAAAACGCTTGAGTAGGGTGTTCTTAGGCCAAACAACAGGGTTCATCAACTCATCCTTTCGGTCGAAGTCGACTGAGAGACGGAAACTTGCATTTGTTCCTCTGGTTTTCGCTACCGTACGCCCCAATGTCCACGTAGACGAAATTGTAGTTAGCGTCGGCCACAGCCATGAGGATGACTGAGAAATAGCTTTTGTAGTTAAAATATATGGAACCACTAAGTTCTGGTTTCATGCTTATATGAACTTATCGACAACTATTATGTATATAAACAGTTAAAAAAATAATAGTTGTACAAAATTGAATTTAAGTTCCACGCAAATTAGTTTGCGTTTTTTGTGTGAATCTATTGAGAAGGAGGTAATACCATAGGTGTCATGGTACGACCTGGGCCAAGGACCGATTTACTTGTTCGTTTTTATGTGCCCGGAGGCCAAAATTACCATGCATTTAAATTCATATGTATATTGTATCCGTTAGCACGGAATCTTGAGCAAAAATCATCCAATTTTATTGAAATTTGGTACAAATGTATAAACATACGTTTACTGGAACGAGTTCACTAACCAGTATGGTCCGACTGTAAGAACAGGGTTTTATGGAGTGAAAATTAGTTTATTACATTTTTGACTTTCAAAACATAGAATTTCCAAATTTTTTTAACACTATTTTGTATAGATTAAAATTAAATAAATTATTAAAATTTTGAAGTGTTTTTGTACGGTTATTCAATACGGAGGAAATTAAACAAATTGTAAATTTTAATTTCCTATGGTATTCCAATTTATAATAATATAACTGTTTTTATGGAACCTAATGTTGATTAAATAGGGAATAAATCTAAAATGTTAAAGGAAATATCTAATTGAAAATCTAATCAGACAAATGGAAATTCACTTAGTCTGCATATTTTCTGAGACGGGGGTTTTCAATCGTAATGTTTTCTTTCTGTTTTTGATCTTAAAAATCGTGTTCATTTGATGGCTTCTTTTAACCTAGGTAATGAAAGTAATCAATTATCTTCTCCGGCGAAGCACCGAAGTTTCTCATGGAGTTGAAATAGACTTTTAAATAACGGAACGAGAACGTGTAATCCATCAGCTTAGAAGCTCAAGTAACAATAACCTTGGCGAAGATATATTTTAGATGGAAGTTATTGGCATGATGATCTCTCTTGGAAACATTAGTCTGACAAAAGAAATATTGGCTCTGGAGGAGTATTATTGTACTCATGTTTCAAAAGATGAAAAACATCATTTGCCTGAATAAAACATTGATGAAAATATTTATTACAACAACAATAATATTTCCAAACATTAAAACTATATCTTTTCAAAACGTAATACATGTTTAATTACCTAACATTATTCATTTTAGATATTTAATACTTATTAGGCCTACTTAGATGGTAAAACTTTGTAAACAATACGACAACAGCCCCAAAATCTTACATTCACAATTTTGTGTACATAGCCTGCCATACTGCATCATATATAATTTTTTTTCAATTCAAAGTATTAAATAATATAAAAATTGGTAGGTAATATTTATTACAGGGCCTTTAACCAATATAACATGAAGTCGGTGTATAGCAGAACGTATGCAGCTTTAACATATGCACGCAACGTACATAATAGTTTTACTTGAGTTTATGGCTTTGCGTTACAGACCAATAGTAAAGCCCGAGCAACGTAAAATAAGTGGAACATTGATTAGCTCTGTATTATGATGTACCTACACAATAAACAAACATTGTGTGTTTAACCATACAAAAATTGGGAAGTAGATTGTTTGTTTGAACAAAAAGTCAAGTGAATCAACAGATGTTATTCTAACGAGAAAGGTTTGCCTGTGGATACACGAAACCATTTTACCAACGTAGCTGAACCTGAGTGACCATGAAATTAAAATATAAGTCTTACTGCTTTAAAATGTTTACACTATATACCATTCCTTGAATGGTTGAATGGTATAGTACTTAAAGAAGATGCCTGTATCCTGAAGGCTAAAAATAAATCAAAAAATGTGTTATTAAATAATAAATCAAATTAAAATGTATTGTATTATATGTGGTTTGGATTCCTTAAGCTGTAGGTTATTTTTTTAAACAAGTGGATTAGATTCTAAGCAGCCTCTTATAGTTGCAACCAATCATCAATCTCCATTCAAAACATTGACTTTTATCACACCAAGAAGGCCAGTCCCAAATTTGTAAGCGCAGATACTCTACTCATAATAGTTATCTTTAAATAAATTAGATTTGAATAAAATTAACTGTTGGTTATTTTAGAAAAATATAGGCACTATTTATATGTTTAACTACATTATGTTTATCAAGTAACCAAGGTGCGTAAATGAGACTTTAAATGTTAGAATATCCCAACTTTTTAATCGTTAGGGCAGAGCCCATGGGTCCTTCTAGTTCATATAAATCTAGTAATAACAATAGCAATAGTAATAACAGTAGCTTGATTTCCGTAATCAAAACTTTATTTTCTTTAAGTTCGTTAAAAAACTGAATAGTTGTTATTTATTGTTTTTAGGTTAAGTCATATAAAATGTAACCGATGTGTAAGAGGTAAAATATGATGTGGGGTAGGTAAGATAGGGGTGCAAGGTAAATGATGATGATAAGTTCACTTGAAAACTCAAGGTTTTTTAGTACCTACGGTAATGAAGTATTCCTAATGAAAATTATTAGCGTAGAAAAAGTATCTTTTACCTGAAATTAAAAATCTTGCTGATTGGTTGCTCTAAATCTTTACAAAGATACACTTTGTATATACACTTAATACAATCTAAATTAACCTATCAGTACATCGTAGACTTTGTGTTAGTTGTAATATAGGTACTGTAGATATGTATAGTATTTTAAAATGAAGATTCATAAATAGGATAATTTGATAAGCAGATGCCAAAGATTTTAACATTCATATAAATTCATTCATGTGAAACAAAGTTATCAGTTTAAAAAACCAGAGAGGTCTGTATCACCAACACATCACTCGTATTTTGTCTGATTCAAATTTGCTCAAACATTTAGCTTAAATGTTTGGATTGAATTACGTTCGTGGTAATATTCTAGCAACCACTTTGATGTAACCCGTCTTGAGATATTGCGGAGCAGGAATTCCAATATCCGTATACTCACCTAGTCCCGGGATAGAGGCTAGTTTTATAGGACCTGAGTGGTTAAATAAAGTACTTTTTGCGTCATATTATTTAAATAATATTTATAACATATTTGTAATTTAAAATTTGATTATATTTGATCATATTGTAATTTTTTTACTTTCTAATCTTCCGTGATAAACCATTATGATATACATAACTTTATAGGTAACCGTATGCAATATTAACTAATATATCATTTTAGTTAAAAATTAGGTAAGTATGTTAAAGTTGCATGATAAATAAATTTATATATATCCAAACAAAATTAACATAATGAATTACAAGTACAATTTGTATAGGGAATGTGTGACAACAAATAGAACACTGTCGCTGTTACTAGGTCCAGGTAAAATATTTTTTGTGCTGTTGACAGCTCCATTCTGTGCATCAATGTACCTATTTGAAATTGTGCAACCAACTGTTCATGCTAATTCAAACAACTGTTATCAGAAAAATAAAATCATAGATTTTTGCCATTCATAGTAACAACATCAAATATTGCAAGTTTTTTCCTTTACTACAATAGTGCAAAACTTGTAAAAAGTAAGAAGTTAGGTTAACAACTATTAACACAAAATGTCTATGCATTTACACGTAACTTTACACGGGTTGTTGCTAACAAATTTCAATTTACAAATATGATAATAATTTTTATTAACTAGTTTGGACTTTATTTATTCTACGAATGATAATTGTTAAGAATCCATGGTAATTGTAAAGGGAATTTGCAGTTTATGTGAAGCTATAACTACAGATCCAGGCACGAAAACCTGTCACTTTTTACGACATTGAGATATCTTAAGCCTCTTATAATGTTAAATACGAGCATGATAAAGGTGGCTGAATACAATGAAAAGGCAATAAATATACTTGTAGCGTCTGAGCAGCAAGTTGTCCACGATCATATTTGTCAACAAGGTATACATATACATTTTTTTTTATTTTGATATTTCTAGGAGATGCTGTTATTTTAGTCTCGTAGCCTTCAGTTATCGTGTGACAGATGTGATATTGTAGTGGTGGACTGGAACTGTACAACAGAAAAGAAAATTGTGTTTTAAATTGTTGTTGTCCTAAATATTGCAAGATTTTTTCCCAATTTAAATATTATTTAATTTTATGAGTACCAGCGCTGTTACAGGGGAGGTAATCGAGTGAGTACTCATGGGCATATATAAATGGGAAAATTGATAGTGAATATTCCCATCTTAAGCCTCCCTCCTTCAAAGTTATAGAAAATTGATGTTAAACTGTTCATAGACGTTCAAGATATTTAAACAGTTTTGTTGCAGCGAGGTCAGCCCTCAGCGGGATGTTAGAGAAATGGTAAAACTGATTTTTCCATCGTCATTTGAGTTACGTAGCCTAATCTGTAAACAACTACATAATGAGCATTTTATTATCATCCTTTTCATTCGGTAAGTACTGTAATTTGAACGCGTTCCGCGTTCTTTGGGTAATAGGATATGCTAAGAAAAAAATTTATTTTTAAAAAAATTCCGTAAGTACGATTTAAACAATATTACACAACATCAAGAATGGAATTGCATACTGAACTTAGACTTGACAAGTGGTGTATATAGATATAGTCTGATGTTATCACTCAATATATATTTGGTATGTTTCTTTACTACTTATCACATAGGTATAACTTATGTATATATATATATGTATACATATATATACATTTATATATATGTATATGTATAACAGTCCGGGCAATGTCTGGGTAACCGAGTGGTTATAGTGCTCGCCTTCACACCTGAAGGTCGCCGGTTTCAATCCATGCGAGATAGTTTCCAGACCCAGATGTCATTTGTCATCGGGCTATGAATTAATGATGCTATCTAACAAAAACGTCGACGTTAGATAGTAACAAGACCAGGGTTTGGACTGTTCCCTTTCAAAATTTAAAAAATGCCACTGGCGTAAAAACACACAAAATAATAACAATTTAACAGTGTACATTCTAACATAATATTTGTCATGCAAGACTT